TTGAAGGATGGTAACGAACCCATCGATGTCATCTTTAGAAACCTTTTGTTGAATGGCAGTATCCGATATTATTGTCACTTATTAGTTGTTGCAGCCTGAATTGTATGTATTCTAGTAAACCACTATACCCACCTACAAAAGAGAAAGGTAAACATCTATTCTACTTATACTCTATACTACACGGATATCGCATTCCGTGTATATGTATGACACACACAAACTGCATAATTGTAATTCGTTGAATGTTAATACATGTCAACAATGTGTAAGTTTTGGATATGAACATATTGGTAGTTGATAGATAGCACTGGTGTAGTGAAACGCCGTCGATGCTGCGAGCAGAAGCTACTATGTCCTAAGCTCCAGGTTCAGATGCGTTGGAATAAATGACTTGTGAGTCGGTGCCAGTTGTTGATGGGTAGTAGCGAATCTATCGGTGTCATCTTTCGATAGGTTTTGTTGCATGACGGTGGATGATATTGTCGTTACTTGATGTTACTTGTTATTACTTATTGTTATTTGTTACTTAAAATGTATTCTAGTTGTTGGAATTCAAGGAATTACAATTATGCAGCTCATTTGTGTGATACAGATACGCGGAAATCCTAGAACCATGTATTGTAGAGTGTAAATAGAATAATAGTTGACCTATTTGGTCTATGGCTTTAGATATAGTGTGTACCTAGAATACATACAATTCAGGATATAACAATTAACAAGTAACAATAATGTCAGATACTGCCATTCAACAAAAGGTTTCTAAAGATGACATCGATGGGTTCGTTATCATCCATCAATACCTTCAATAGATTTCTTTCCAACATTTGCATTATGGTTTCCCCAAAATTGGGCTAGTAATATGATATGAGCAACAGTATGTCTACTCTGAAGAAGCGTGCCTTGTGGTTTAGCTGTGCAGCCTTTCTGTCCCCGCGAATTTTTTCGGGAGTCTTCCAATTGGCTTTCGTAACAATCCCTGCTTTTATTCCTTGTTTGATGTTTCAGTACAATTCGTGTGCATCCACAGCTCTCTTTAGTGGTGTTGAAGCGTCCCAAATTTAAGTTCTCGTTTCCTTTCGTCAAGACCTCTCCACTTGGCGGTCCAGCATCTTTGGTCCTTCACAATATGTATCAGCAGCAAGGTCGGAATGTTGCTTAGATCGATCTCAACATCTACCTTGCATTTAGAAGTTGAAGTGCCATAGATCCCTGCTGAGTTGCGTCCTCTGTGGTAACCATATCTCCCTTCAATAGGCAACGACCGAAGATCATAATTGTAGCCCGAACTTAGTAAGCAAAATACAGCTCACCTTCCATTCTGTAGTGGAACCATGAAAATGATTGGAATTGGGAAGCTTGAGATGGTGCTTAGACTCAGTTCACAGCACCTCATACACTTTGATTCCCATTTGCCTCAATTGCGATTTCTAAGCCTTCCTTCATAAGGGTAGGCGATGCTGGTTGTTCCTGCAACAATATCGTGTCACNCCTTCATAAGGGTAGGCGATGCTGGTTGTTCCTGCAACAATATTGTGTCGCGCCTTTCAATCCGACATAATGCGTTAATCATTGTTCTCTTGCAACCCTACTCTCTCTCTCTCGCTCTCTCTCTCAATAATGTTCCCAGGTTATTCGTATCTGGGTAGGCAGTGTATACCTTCTTCAATAATTGAGCATGAGCTTGTAGGAATGGTGAAGTCATAGCAATTGGATCACATCTCCTAGGGACAGCATTTGGCTACCATAGGACAGACTTGACTGGCACTATCTGGGATTACCTCAAAAGTAAATGGCCCTAAAGTCGTCCTAGCTTCACCATCTCTCCATGTAAGCAAATTGGTATTGGATACACTTTGTTCCGAGAAACCTAGCAAGTCGGTTAACATATTGATTGAAGTGCAAGCCAATTTGCAGTGCTCGTCTAATTCGAGTCAGTTGGTCACTCGTACAGCTCCATTCAATACTCCAAGCTCAAACATAACCTTCCCACAATCATCCACTCCACTTGACATAAACTCCTACTGGAAATGCCTTTACTTTAACATGTATGGTGTTTTAATAACGGTCTCCTTAATTTTTTGGATGCCGCCTGGAGAGCCAGGACATATCAAAATATTCTCTGCCTCTGACCCCGAAATTGGCACCTGCACGAGCCTTCTTATTGTAACGCTGTAAACTGCTCTATAACCTTCGGTTGCAAGTTCTGGAGAAGTTGTTGTAGAAAGAGACGTTGGGGAATGGAGTGAAGAGGGAGCCAATACCACTTTCGTTGTAGATTTAACTGGCTGCATTTGCTTACTTGAGATTACCGGTGTAGCAGGTTCTAGAGGAATACTACTTCTGATTACTTTTTTATATAGTACTATACAGTTCTATACGGTTCCGTACAGTTCCATACAGTGCAAGATGGACTTCAAGGACAGTCATGTCTCCTGTTCGTTCAATTTATGGCGTCCAGTTTCATGCATATTCAACTGCCAATATCTCCATCTCAGTCTAGCTCAAAATAACTACTGCCATTGCTTGTCAACAGTCTTTCGACGGTTCGAAAGTATTATGTTCCGGGTATTGGATAAAAACGAACACGTTAAGAGTATAAAATAGGAGTTGACATTGTAGTGGCGATTGATTTATTTAGCAGTGACCAAATCTATAGAGATTACTATATCGTGTGTTTTTGCTCTGTATCTCGTTTCTAATTAATTTACTAATCCAGTTACCCAAAGCACATCATGTGTCTTTCGAATAGTGTAAAATGACATCCAACGACATACGAAAGACCAAAAGACCTTTGGATAACTTTCATCTTCTCCCTATAACTCCGCATTTGTTTAGATCATCCAGCTGTTCAACAATCTCAAGTTCTGGTACTGCTTGGAAGACCCTTTCATCCCAAAAGCAAGATCTCTCATGTACCAAAAAGCAAAAATAATCAATGCGTCGACGACTAAGTATACCGCAATTTTCAAAACTGGAGGAAATAATTTGTTTTGTCCGACAAGCTTTTGCATCAAAAATCCAGCCAGGAATATTGCAAAATATAATGCAGGCACGTAATGGTGCAAATACTTTACCCTTCCCATAAGAATAAATGGTACATAGTGCAAGATCCATCCGAGGAAGGGAAGTAAGCATTGCACTACCATGGACTGAATCGAGTCTGTGTTGCTCGTACTCTGTCTTTGGTACCGAAACAAGGAAAACAACGTGTATACGATGCAAAATAGGATTCCGGTGTTCGACATCCAGGTTACAAAAGGATTACCAATCAAAAAATACTTTGTGTCGTCATCCCCCCAGCCACACATTCTTAGACCGGTATTCAATATTGGCCACTCCCACCATTCAGAGCTCAATTTGTCAAATTTGTCTGGGTCTGGCACAAGAGCGTTATTCGAGGCCATCATTCCATAGTTTAGAAGCACAAACTCTTTCCAAAATTTGGGCTTGGGGGGTACATATTCGACTGCAGGTGCTTCCAAATTTTCGTTGCGATGCTCTTCAATATTCCACCATGTGGTTTTGTCCTTGGACAAATAAGGATATTTACAAACAACTTCACCTTGTTGATAGCCCCAAGAAGGTAATGGGTTTCCCGTGGTGGCTAGATAGCATCCTAGTTCTTTATGCTTTAATCTGAATGCTGTGGATATAGGATGCAATTCCAGCTCATTTTCGTCCCGAAACTGGTCTGATGGAGAAGTTTCCTGTGACTGTATGTCAAGAATCCACTCATGTGATGTAAACGACACGTTCGACAACAGTGAACAGGATACCTCGAAATGTTTCTTTGTGATTGGTGCCGCAAGTGGATGTGCTCCTAAGTAGCATCCCGTCTTTGAGTGCTTTAATCTAATACAATTTTCTTGTACCACATATCCGCCTGTGCCGGCTTGATTCGCAATTTCAATTTCGAATTCGTTGTTTTCGTCCTTGAATCCATATGTAGTGATCTGTTGTTCCCCCGATCCTTCGGGATAATTATGGGCATGCGAGTGTAACAAGTTGGGAGATAAGCCCTGTGATCTGATTGTTACAAGTGAGTCGCTAGCAACAGTTCGGGGCCCATATTGCAAATTGTTTCCTACCAACGACGCCTGTAGCAAAGTAGATATAGATCCATCACCGGGACCAGTATGGTTCAATACCTGGAAGTGCACTTTGAAAGCAAGCATGTATATAGTGATAGGAATGATGATCAATGAAGCAACTCTCAATATCCAATGCTTGACATATGTTTTCCAGTTCAACGTATCTGTCGAAGTCACTTGAAAATACTTCAAGATCAAGTCATACCCTGTATATAATCCCACCAAAATTGTCACAAAGAGGCCCACCCATTTTACTGAGCAAACACAACCAATCGATATTCCCGTTAATAAAAACCATTTGAAACCAAGTTTGGACATTTCCATTCGCTCCAGACACACTTTGTGAAGATTGACCAAACAGAAAAATGTAAACACGGTAAAGAAAAGCAACATTGAGTCAAGCAAGATGAATTTAGACAAAGTTAGTGATAATTGCTCAAATATTACCATTAGTGAAACAAACCAGCAAGTCCACTGATCAAATCCAGCTAATACTGCGGTTCTGTAAGTCAAGGGTGTGACAAGTATACCAAACAAGCAATTGAATAGACGCATAAAGGCAAAGTTCATGTCGTCGGGGAAAGCCTTTCCACTTTCAAATTCGAATGAACCGTCATATCCTGCTAAATAGCCAGACAATGCAACAAGAAGTTTACCTAATGGAGGGTGAACATCAAAATAAAATTCCCTTTTCAAGTAATACGAGCCAAACTTTCCAAAGTGAGCTTCATCCCAAACCACGTAGTTTGCTGCATCTATATGATATATTCGTACCAATGCGGATAGTGCGGTTAGAGCCAATGGGCTGATATATTTGACGAATGCAGATTGTGACGACTGTTGACTTCCTATTTTCAACCTTGACGTTTTCTCTATGATGTCTCTTACTTCCTTGTCTTCGGAATTTGTTTCCCAGTCAGTACTATTGGATTGATGGGGATTCGAAGTTGCATGTTTTCTGCGAACTGCCGATTCACCAATGTTCTTGGAGTATCCCGAAGAAGCACTTAATGTCCCATCCAGTAAGGTTGACATAACTCACAATTGCTTTAAAATGTAGAATGCTGTGGTAGACTTTTTTTTTACCTTGATCGGTATTTCATTCTGTCGAATTTTCGCGTTCTTTCCATTCTCCCACTGTACATAATCCAGAAGTTAAAAGAATATTCACACAAGCCTCCCCCGAGAGCAGGCGTGTTGCCTACAAAAATAGATTTGTGATGTACAAGAAACTTGTTGTTTCGAATATCTAGAGGGGAAGCCATTTAAACCAAACATTACATATCTTTCATTCAATTTTATCTTATAGAAGAGTAATCTGCAAAGGAATCAGCACCCGTCGAAATACAAGGACATTATTTGTGCTTTCCTCCGACCAACAGCCGTCAGCAGTGGCTTACAACTCACAAGCAGCAAACTTCAATCCATTAATGCTATATTTAGCTACCAAATTCCAATTTCGGCTTGAATCAACTTCAGTATTGCCCTATGGAGCCCAAATATCGAAGTGTTCCATTCCTCCTTTACGAACCCACTTGTCATGGTCTTTTTTTTATTTACGATGTCTCTGCACCATGACTTTGCAAACTACTGAATTCATTTCATTTGCAACTCTCTCTCAACTTGTTTCTGGGTCCTCTTAACTTTAATTCATCTCTAACCTCTTGTCCACTAAACCTGGTAGAAACAATCTGGAAAAACTCAGTTGGTATTTACAGTGTACTAGTCCATCACTACTGCAAAGTAGCAGCTGATTATCGAGACACCAAGCATTGTTGATGTTCATGCAATGCTATTTCTCTGTATTGTCTATGCCTTTACGTTATTATTATTCTCATTATCCTCTTTTATGTTTATTAATTATTATTATCTATACAAAACCTAAAAAACAACGGCTTATTATACTACTTAGCATTCCCTAAACTCCCATATTTACAACAGTGCCTCCAATTTGGATTATTCAGATTATATATTCCCTGTAGCTCATGTTCAACTTGTAGCCAGTACTTGTATTTCATCCTGCTCTTTAGATCCAAGTCGTATATGTTGCATGTAACGAGATACTTTTGTCCCTCTTCATCATAACCTTTGATTGAATCTTCAGTTTGAGTTTGATCCTGATCGTAACTATTATGTGAAGCTTCCAACTTAGATGGTGAACCATAGTGGGTATTCCCGTTGATCTGCTTTGCTGATGGTGGTGGTAATATAATTATATTGTTTATGTTGTTGTGGGAATTATGAATATCATTATTTTTATCGTACTTTTCAAATTTTATAAATAAACCCACATCACGCAAAGTCATAACCAATGACAAGTTTTGTGATACATCCAGGGACGAGGTCAAGTTTTCAATTAAATCATTTTTGTTGTTAATCTTTTGATACTGCTTCAATTTGGCAAAAACGTTGTGATCAGGATTGGACAAAAATTTGTGAAATAATTGCTTCAATGGGAAGTTGTTTGTGATTTCAATTAGTTCAATGATATCTGAGGGGATTTTAGAAAATATATCATCAAGTCCTTGGTCAACTGTGGTTGGATATAGCAAGTCGAGAGGGCAAAAGTGTCTGGGAACATTGCGTAATTGATTGAGTGAACAAGTTCGACAATAGTTTGACGATTTATTGTCGTATAGCCATTTAGGTTTGATTTCAAATATTATTGAATTGATGTCACTATTCAAGCTCGATGGAACATTGGTGGCAGTATTGATATTATTAGCCAGGCGACCATCGGGGATGATATTATTGTTGATGTGAGACTGTTGAAAATCCATACCATTGCCTTGTGTCAAAGAAGAGTAGTCATTAGTCTTGTAATTAGTCTGATTTAGCTGCTGCTGCTGCTGCTGCTGCTGCTGCTGTTGTTGTTGTTGTTGTTTTGCAATAGGCGAGTCAATGTCAGAGTTATCATCACTACCCAAATATAACTGACAATGTTTCAGTAGGGCAATTTTAGTGTAGTTCCCATCCAATATATTTGGAATTAACAAACCATATCGTTCATTCAACTGTAGTTTGAATCCATTACTATCCAATCCCCTGACAAATTCAGATGTCAACACAATCAACTGAATGTCAATAATTTGTTTAGGAAACAAGTGTTTGCATTTCAATTCGATAAAGTCATATAGTTCACAAGTACTGATGTATTCTTCGTCTTCTTTTAGTAAACGTAGTCGTAATAGTTTGTGAGTCAAATAGTCATTAGTCCCAGTATATTTGAATAAAATGTTGGCTGATCCATTTGCAAAATATGACCATTCCTTGGGCGAAGTAATCTTGTATATTTCCATTACTGGTAGGACTGTAGGTTTATAATGTTGTCTAGTTGCTTCTTTAGCTTAATCAATTGTGCTTCTTCGTCTGTTGTTATTGCTGTTGTTGTTGTTGATCTAGGTTTCACCTCTTTGTTTGACAGATATGGATAGCGTGGTGAAGTTTGTTTGTTTACTAAGACTAAGGGTGGTGTGGCGGTGGATGAACTGTAAGAGAGAAGGTCAGTTTATTTGGAGTAAAATGGCGATAAGTAGCAGAAATCAATTTGGTTGGTTGTTTGTAATGATAAAAGTAAAAACTGCGAGTGAGTGTATGTGATAGTGTGTGTGTGTGTGTTTATATATATATGCCAATGCAAATAAATAAATAGATAAATAAATGCAAAAAATAGGGGAGGGTGACAGTTGTAGAAAAATATATCAAAGTATGTGGGTAGTTAATGGTGATTTGTTTGTAAAAAGTCTGTGTGTGTGGTGGGTGGTGGGTGTGTGTATATACGTGGTGTGTGGTGGGTGGTAGGTGTGGGTAAATTGGTTGGTGGATGTTTCTAAAGGATCAAATCAAATGTGGTGAAGAAAGAAGAATAAATGTGTGGTGTTTAATCAGTGTTTGCTGTTGTAATTGTAATTGTAGTTGAAGTGGTGGTGGTGGTATATTAGTTGTAGTATGTTATGGGTGATTGGTAGTGGTAGTGATGATGATGATGGTGATTTATATATATGGTATTGTATGTGTAGTAGTAGTAGTAGTAGTAGTATAATATACTCTGTTTATATTATTTCTTTATTTTGAACTTTCTTCAAAAAAAAAAAAATTTTTTTTTTTTAATTTTTAATTTGTGAGAGAGGCAAATGAGAGAGACACAGATCTAAATAGTTAATAACAACACATATATAAAAGAATAACTACAACATAGACAAGGGATAATAAGTAAAAGTATGTTGAAGAAGAGAAGAAACTCTCTATATATATATATATATATAAACGCATATTTTTACAAGTAGTAATACTAAGGTGATAAATTGAAATATTCTAAACCTAAAAAAGAGACCAAGAGCTACCAGTTGCGTGAAAATAAAACAAAATTGTGGAAAGATTGCAATTGTTCTATTCCTTTGAATTACCATAACAACAACAAAATTATCTTACATCTTTGTTGGATGTGATTGGATTTAGTATCAGTATTGGTATCAATATAAGCATGTGCAAGGTGTGAGGTGTAAGTGTTGTTGTTGTTGTTGTTGTTGTTGTTGTTGTTGTTGTTGTTGTTGTTGTTGTTGTTGTTGTTGTTGTTGTTGTTGTTGTTGTTGTTGTTGTTGTTTCTATTTTTAAGCTAATCTGATTTTGTGTAACATTATATATATATATTATTTCACTTGTACCTTACTTTACTTGTATATTATGTGTATATGTATGTATGTAAGTGTATGTATTCATGTATAATGGTCCCCTGATTCATCTTTAGCTAGCCAAGCTTATTCAGTGTACGAAGTACAAAGTACAAAATAAAATGAATGCTCCCGAAGAAATATATATATATCAATACGAAATGTAAAGCATATTTAGAAAGAAAAAAAGGAAGGTAGTTCTTTTCTATATATAGAAGAATAGATATCTAAACAATTGTCGACATGTATGGTTGGCTTTGTAGAAAAGAATCTAGTTAGTTAGAGAGTAAGACCATTTACACTGGATGTCGCAAATTTTTATTTGACTTTTACTCTATAACATACCACTATGCTAGGTTAACAAAATGGATATTTACCACAGAATGTGAAAATTTGACTCGAGAAGACTAATTTACGGCAAAGGGAATAATCTGGCTCATCCGAGTCAAATAGAAGTATGAACATAAGAAGAAGAAGTAAACACAAAGCTCAGAAGCGATATAGGAAAGCTGCTGAATGAAGAGTATATAGGGAATCGTGGAATGGCTCATTTCCATAGAATTATGGAAAGGGGCTATGATCAACTTAGGTTAAATTCGAGTACATAGGTACATGTTAATATAAGATCAAACGAACTTTATTATACTGAACTTTCGGAGCCTAAAGGTAGTAAATGCACTCGTTGATTCATCCCGCTATATACTTTATATTTGTTGTAAGTGTTGTGCGAGTCTGGAGTGGAAAAAAGGGCTTAATTGTTCTGGTCTATGACACATCATTTATTTAAAATTGTCTAATTGTTTTAATGAACCCTTCTAATATTATTGTAGTCATGTGTACTGCCAAAAAAAAGTTCAATACCAAGTACAGAATCAGACATCTCTCTTATTTCATTTCCTAGAAGAAATTGTCTAGGAAAGGGAAGTCATTTTTCATCTTTGGCTTGACCTTTTTCTCTTTCACTGAATGAATAATCCACCCCTTCGTTCTTACTTCCAATACACTTCACTCAAGTAATGAAACATACTATCCCTACAATCTTTCTTCACTAGGTATGTGTATTATTGTCTGTCACAAAATGTAAAATGCCCACAACCCCTTAAACCCTGACTAAACTCAACTTTAACCCAATATTGTCTAAATTTGAATTTCTCTCACAACTTATTTATATATATCCACAACAAGACACACATACCTCCTCACCACACATCTTCTTGATATCTATTCTGCACTTTCAAACTTCTAATCAATTCAGCAGCCTTTTCCAATTCAATGCCTCTTTCTTGACTCAACACTTTGGCCAATGATGCTTGCACATCTCTAGCCATATGACTGGCATCTCCACAAACATATATTATTGCCCCGTCTTGCAACAATTGATTAATCTTGGCCGATTGCTCCAATATCTTATCTTGAACATAAACCTTCTTGTTAGGATTGGCTCTTGAAAATGCCGTAATTAATTCAAATGATTCGCCCAACTCTTTGGCATATTGTGGCCATTCATCCTTGTATAAATAATCTTCATCTTCATTTCTGCATCCATAAAATAACAATGATGGTCCAACATTGACTCCATTCTTCAACTGTTGTGCTCTTTCTCTAACAAACCCTCTCAATGGTGCAACTCCAGTTCCCGGTCCAACCAAGATTATCGGCGTCTTACTACTAGTAGGCAATTTAAAGGTTGATCTTCTAACGTGAACTGGTAGTTTGAAATTGTGAAACTTATTTCGAGGTCCCTTCAAGTCATAACTGACAATTGGCTTATCTGATGATGAGTTTTTGTTGATTTCAATATTCTTCAATAAATTGGTAACAACACCAGTAACAACTCTTCCATCAGTTTCAGTTTCCGCTTCAACGACGGCAGTGATATCAATATTTGTCTTTTCGCTTAATGATGAAGATGAAATCGAATAATAACGAGGAGTTAAATGTTGCACATTTTCAATCAAAAACTCAAAGGGAACCTTGGTCCATGGCTTACCATTGGAAAAATACAACAATCCATCAGCAATATTAAACTTCTTGTGAGTAATCTCTTCTGCGTATTGTTGTTTGTCGTTAGCAACAGAGGTCAATTTTGTCTTGGTCTCTTCATCTGGAGCAAATGCAGCAATCGAAAGGAAAAACTGTCTTGATACAGGACCGCTGATTTCCAAATGATGTCTAATAACTGCTTCATATGTGATTGGGGTGGGGAAGGGAATTTGATAAGTTGAATCAAGTGCCTTTAAGTCAAAAACAGCATCACGTTGGTCAGTCAAATCAAATGTTTTCAAAAAAAGCTCAACATTTTCATTAGCATTGGATGGCCAAACCGCTAAATGATCACCGGTGGTGTATTTCAAGTTAGAATCAGAAAGATCAAATTCGACATGAACACAAGACCTATCCTTGGTAAAAAATAATTCCTTGACTTTAGTTACAGGAGCCAAATAAGGATGAGAATGATCGAATGGGCCCTTAGATAAATCAGTAGTAGAGCTGGTATTAACATAAGACTTATCTGGCTCACCCAAAGACACTGAAGGATCATCAATGGTTAAGTCGTCTCTAACTTGCAACTTCAAACTTGGTTCATACTTTAATTCCTTTTCTTCAAGATTCAAGTTATTCCTCAAGGAATCAAAAACACCGTCTTTCCAAGAAAGGAAATCTTCATCCATAGTACCTTGACCATCATCACCCTCACCGTACTCAGCAAATCTCTCAGCACCTTTCTCCTCCAACTTTTGGTCAAACTTTCTACCAATAGCATTGAAAAACTCATAGGTTGAATTACCCAAACCAAAAACAGTATACCTCAAGGTACTCAAGGTATCAGCCTCGTTATCCAAAAAGTCAACAAACTCAATGGCATTATCAGTTGGCTCACCTTCACCATAGGTTGCCATGATGAAAAACACCAAAGTTTCTTCCTTAATATCACCAAAATTATCCCAATCATAATCGGCAAAATCAGCAACCATAGTCTTTAAACCAAATCTAGCACTCAATTCACGAGACATTTTATTACAGTAATCCTCGGCAGTACCGGTTTGTGACCCAAACAAAAGTAACGTGTTTTTATTGTTTTTCGCCAATGTGGCCAAAATATCACGAGAATTGCCTCCAGCAGCATCTGTATGCAAGAACCCGCTCGATTCCGGTTTAGAAAAGAATTGGTTCTTTAAAAAGTAAGCACCAACTGCAACTGCCAACACAATGACAACCGTCAAGTCCAATCTGTCCAATGCCATGATATTTCAGTGATTAAATCTAGTGTGTATTGGTGAAGATGTTGATGATTCTGTTATGCGAAATATGCAAATTAAAAAAAAAAAAAATGGTATTTATTTAATTGATTAATTGGGGGGGGGGTGTAAATTAAGTACTTTGGTCGATCTTGTATATCAAACAGTGTCTTAGTAGTACTAGTAGTAGTAGATGAAAGAAAAGCTGCTTGGATTTTTAAAGAAAAAGAAGAATGTGTTGAAGAATGATTGAAAGAAAGAAATAAAAATATCACCAGAGTGTGAAACTTGACAAAAACTAAGAGAAGAATTTAAAGTGTTGAAAAAAAAAAAAAAACAATAAAATATAAAAAAAAAGTGGTGTTGTTGTTGTTGTTGTTGTTAACAATAAACCAAATGATGCGAATATCGGACATCTCCTCTAATTTACAGCTTTATATAGATTTACATGAACACAAGCATAAGTAAATAAACGCCAATATGTGCTCATATGAAGCCAACCGTAACTTATATGATACTATTCTACTGACAACATAGCCAGAGGAGATAGTCTCTCATATCAAAGGTGCTGGAGAATTATCACACACATTTTGTTTACAAAATTTTATCTTGTGATTTTTTTTTTTCTTTTTTCTCACTCTGTTTGACGTGTCGCTTTTTTCCAATGTGTCGTATTTGCATTCTACTTTTTTTTATCTCCTTTGACGTGGGGTAAATCATAAATGGGTTTGATCTTCAGGTCATAATTTGGATCATGTAGAGTCATCTATTTTCTCCGTTCCCGAATTCCCCTTGGTGACAGTTGAAACCATTTGCACTTTTCTTCAAATCACTATTATCAATATATTTTCCCTCTGAACTTTCCTACCTTCTGTGCTACTGTATGAGCCACCCCCATTCTGTTTCTTTTGTATGAGTGTTTTTGCCCAGAACACACACTACACACACACACCACACACAAGTCAATTCTTCTTTCAGGCCAAAATATGGTGTCCTAAGCTCGATTTAGCACATGCAAAAGAAGCACAAAAAAACGGAAAAAAAAAAAGTAGGTTAAGCTTGACATGATAATTCGACAAACCTCCGACAAAATGTTGCTCCCCCAATTCCGCTCCAACTCCCACTCCCGCTTCCCCATCCCGATTTCCGTTTCAAATTTTCCTCAGTCCTGTTTTTTTCTAATGGCTTAAATAACGAAGCAAATAATAGCCATCTTTAAGTCCGTCACCTCTCTCTTTTGTGCGTTAATTTCGCTTCTTCAACAGGAACTTTCCGCTTCCTTGGTTTAAGGAAAGAAAAAAAGAGAAAATGTCAAAGCATATTAGACGTATGGTTGTTTTACCTCGTTTCATCCCATAACAGTTCGAAATTTAAAATTCGTGGTACAAAAAAGGTGCAACTTAATTCTCATTTTCCAAAGTTTAACTCCATTTTGGTGCCAAAAATTACTAGAAAAATGTACAACGCAATTAGATTTTTGCTTATAAACAATTACCAAAGATTATCATATTTTCAAATAAGAAACAAAGAGCAACGTTGTTGGCCAAAGCTAGCTCAACCACAAATGGTAATTTACGTTAATTCCCCTTTTTTCTTTTTCTCGTTTCTTTTATATATTTATTCTCCTTCCTTTGATCTAAAACAGCTTGCTGCTTTGGTGGGGTAAACACACAACGTAATTAACCAATTTACACAAAATCGAAATTAAGAAACGATAGAAACAAAACAAGAAAGCAAATGTTCAAGGTTGGCCTAACCATGAAGCTAAAATCATCAGTAGAGATTATTTATACAGATGGTATTAAATATACCTTGTTTCTTGATTTATTGAACAACTAATACATCTACACATTAAAGAGCCATTATTCTCATCAACAGGATAGTCAAAAATCTCAGATTCTTGCAAGATTCCATACCCAGTGACAACCTCTAGCAGCTCATTCAATGTACCAAAGTCTCAAAATGCAACAGTAGTGCATACTTGTTATTTCTAGAATTAGGCTTCTTTGTATCATTTCAATGAGAAACTTCCAGTTGGTGACAAATGTTATAGGGAACAATGATTCCCTAATCTCCATTACCAAGCAAATATATGACAATGATTGGACTTAACGTTCATGTATAAAAGTTCACACACAGAATTGTTCTCTCCACACACACATCGTAAAGTCAGCTTTGTACCATGGGTACCGTTTCACCCTCCTGTCTATTAGTCTCTTCCGAATCGTCTGCCTCTACTGCTTCAGCCTCAACCTCGTCTTTCAACAGGACTTGGTACGCCCTTTCAATCGTCACTTTTGCTCTTTCAGCTATCACTTCGTTAAAATCAGACCCATACAAAGTCTTTATATAGTCATACACCCTTAATGGTGCCAATTCAGTCAAGCTTCTTTTTCCCAATGATATATCGAAAATCTTATCATTTGTTGAATCGGTATTTAGATGCTCCTTATTCAAATATTCTCGACTCACCAATTCTTTCAAAATGTCTTCCCAATTCATATTCAAGTTGGTATTTTTTATATTAACACTATCAGATATACCAAATTTTTTCAAACTTCTCACCAACTGTGACTCCATGATGTGGTTCTCAGACAATATCACTAGTGTGGTTACAAGCATCATTATCCCCGTCTTTACAAGTTCCATGTTCAGCTTGGGTAATCCGCCTTTCTTGTATTTAGGTATAAAGAATTTTGCATCACCGATTTTAGTCTTGTCCAACGAGCTGTCAACCTTCTTCATCCATAGTTCGCCCAATACTTCCTGCGCTTGTTTCAGCAAATTACTGGCTACGAAGAACCTGTTTCTAGGTGGATTCTTCTTTATGGGCTTTTCACCATTAGCATTATTTAGGTCGTCAGCAGCTTCAGGTCGTTGCTTTGTTTGTGTGGCATTGAATTTCTTTTCCTGTTTTACTGTGGGTGCATCAACCAATGTTAAGCCATAGGTATTTTCCAAAATGGCAATGGCATCATCTAGCAACGAGTCGGTCTTGAACCTCTTGTTAGTGAGGTATTGATTAATATGCTGCTTCTGAAAGTTTTGACCTCTGGCATCCTTGGTTAAAATTAATTTTACGACGTAATTAACGTCATGCGCCTTATCTTCCTCGCGATCTAAACTAAGTGCGCCATTATTGTTGCCCCTGCTATTGTAGTTGCTGTGGTTGTTCACATCTTCATATTCCACGTCAGCTTGTTCATTTTGATTCCTTGAAGGTCTTCCCTGTGCTTGTCTTCTTTTGGGATTTGGTTGAGGACTGTCGATATAATCATTATCAGCAGCACCATTACCATATCCATTGTCATCTATGTCGAGTTCTTCTAAGGGAATCTTTCTTTTAGGCATATTAGTGTAAATAAAGTGGGGGGGGGGGGGGGTTTGTGGTGGCTACTGAGTACCGTTTGAAGAAGTTAAAATAAAAAAGATAAAAAAAAATAAAAAAAGAAATTAAAAACAAACACGCGTTTGTGCTTAGTACGTTTCGTGTATTGACACCTAAGCAAGCACATTGAAGTTCCAATTCCTTACCATATAGGACAACCACAGCAGAAAATCTTTAAACCCTGAGATGGATCTCCCTACAACCAGTATAATTTTTGAGTCCTGTATTATGTTAAGGCTGTCGAGTATGATATTCGGTAGCGACAAGCACGCACACACACTTTGACAACTATTACCAAATAAAATTGTGTTGCAAAACTTTTTTATATGTATATACAGTAGCTCCTTTATATGAAGCTGAAACTAGCTCACGCAAAAGATAGCCAGTAAAGTATATGTTCAAAAATGGATACTACCACAACTCAATTTCAATTGCAATTGCAATTGAAATTGACACTACAAGCACTTCTACTTTTCTTATGTGGGTGATAATATGTTTTGTAAAAGTATTTTATACCAAATGTTTTGACAGCACAATTTCTTTTCTTTTTACTTTTTCTTCTCCCACCTCCCAATACATTATTACTACTACTACTACTACTACTACTACTAATATTAATACTTCTCCTATTTTCTTTTACGTTTACTTTTACTGTTAATATCCATATACATTCAATCATTCTATACACACACCTTGTCTTTTTAATCTTTTTTTTACAACACATTCTTTTTTAAACCTTTCAAACCACTTTTACCACCAGAATTACCTTTTTACGCTACCTGAGAGCTAAAAGAGGTAGAAACTGCTTTGTATTTCCCACCATTCACCACCACCAGGTCATGAGTAGTAACTTATTTAAACATCAACTTATGATGCCATACTTGAAACCAAACCAAGCTTCCAACACTTCAGCAGCCAATCCAACAACTAAGATGCTGCTGCCCCAATTTGGCAACCAGGACCATTTTGACTTTTGTCCAAGAGCCCAAAACTACCGTTACCTGTCTTTCATTCCCGGATTCACTACACCTGCACAAGGATTACCAATTGTTTCTGCTAGTACTTCTTCTAATCAAATAGCCGCCAAAGAGCAAAACTTTCCAAAACCACAAAGTCTTTTACAACAAGTTCCAGAAGAGGACGAAGGAAGGGATGATTTTAAACAGCACAAGCAGATGCTGAAACAGAAGCAACAGCAACAGCAACAGCAACAGCAACAGCAACAGCAACAGCAACAGCAACAGCAACAGCAAATTCAACCCAATCAACCAGAACATCACACCTGTTTCAACTCACCTAAATTTGACGTCTTTCATGGTAATAAAGAACAAATTCCTCGAAATTTGCCATGTGACGCTGAATTGGAGTTTGCTAGAACTAAACACTTTTGTAATAATAATTATAATTCTTCAATTTTGCAACCGCTACAAATGTCACTGGTTGAAAACATTGATGTTTATGACTATTTAAATCCTAAGAAATCTGCAAATATGGGATACAGAGAAAAGATTCGCAGTTGGTTGTCCTCGGTCCCACTCGCTATTGCTTGTGACGAGAGCTTATCCAGTTTTGACCTCAATTGTTACCCTGGTGTGGTTTCAAATTCAGAAACAACAAGTAATTCAGATGCAGAGATAGACTTGGCTGATATAGATGACATATTGGAACTTCAAGCCCAAAGAGTGACTCGATATGTGAACAGATTGTATTTCAACGAGGAGGAATTACCCTTACCTATAGAAGAGAATGGCGAAGATTTTGAGGAAGAGGATGACGAGGTTGAAGAAGGGGAAGAAGAAGTAGAAGAAGATGAGGGTGCTGCTAATGGTGGAGAGCACATGGTCGGAATTGAAGATTACAACTCACACCCAGTTCTCCCTAAACGAGATAATGATTATTACTGTAATGGAAGAAATATGACTAATGGGACCGAGAGAGGGCAACAACAACAACAACAACTACTTCCATGTGCTATCCATGATAAAGGTGATCTCATTGATGCAAACATCCTCGCGATTATAGATCCCCATCATACACAATAAATAGCTAGCATTCCATTACCTTATTCCAACCATCATCGATTTTTGATAGAACATGATTGAACCATTCATTTCTCAATATTTTATCTAGTTTATCTTGCATTAAAAATACATAGTACATAATTCATTATAATCGTAAATCCAACGCTTCAATCGCAAACCTAGCGCTATCCTCTTCCAGTACGTTCTGCACACTAGGATAATACGGTACAACAGCATCGTTACACTGAATATAGGCACTGTTGTAAATCTTCCAAAACGGTGCTCTAACTTTCCTTGCTGGATGAAATAGCCCTGCCCATACGTAATTCATGAAAATCCCTAATCCCAAAACCAACCTCAATGCATCTACACTGTCTAATATTCTAGAAATAACATGTGGGGATGTCTCATAAACATTGGGCATAATCAAATTTAACAAATGAACAAACACCTCATCATAATCCAGACCGAAGTTCAGTCCAAAACAGTTTAAAGCAATATGACTGACAACAGTGGCAGCAATTTGACGATGCACCAAGTCTCTGTCAAGCAACGCGTCTTCCAACAAAGGCGTTATAGCGAATACATAGTCCTTTGTGGTATTACCATCCAAGTACTCAAACAAAAAGCTCAACGCTTTTAAAACACCATTTTGGATATTCTTCTCTGGTGTCTTGTACTCATTCATAATTGCCGGCAAAACAGTAAATGGCTGACAGTTTTCTGCAACTATCCCCATAGCGACAGCAGTGCAAACTCTCAATTGTCGCTCTTGCACTTTCAAGTTATTCAAAAGCATCACAATGATGTCTTGGGGCCCAATAGTTTTTGAGATATGGCCAAACGTTGCATTTGCTGCAATTCTTATTCTTTTCTTGTTTGACTTTAGCATTTCCAACAAGTCAAAACAAATACGCATCCACTCTTTTGCGTTTATGGTCTCTGCATTTTTAGTAGCTATCAACCCAATCAACCGAATGCTTGATTCTTGTACTTTCTCGTGACGATTTTTCAAAATTGGAGTTAAAGTAGGCAAAATTTGGTTTATCGATGGGTTATTCATCTCCAATAACGTGTTTGTATCAATAGAATTGACACAAGAATACAAAGCATTAATTATTGAGCCCAACACATCCGGGTATACCTCACCCAAAGATTCGTACAATATCAATGTCAACCTTTCCAATAGAGTGTCGTCATGTTGGAAGCATATTTTGACTACTGGAGCAATGGCAGCAATCAAGTCCGAAGATTGCTGCCTCACTTCCGGCGACTTATTCTTCATTCGGTACAACACTGAACTGATGATCGAATTAAGGTGTGGCTCCATCCTCACACCTAAAGCTTTTGCCACCGTACTGAATGCCTGTAGATAGACATGCAGTTGTACAGTCTGCTCTTGGAAAGCAAATAGAACACCGTCAATCAAAGATTCAACTTGGCGAAGGCTCACCTCTATCAACTCATCCGGGTTTTTTGCAACAATTGTGTAAAGGGCTTCAACCGCTAACCGCCTAAGTTGTTCGTTCTCATCCTTAGCAAAGTGTGTGACATAGCCCAAAATTGCTATATAGTCAAACTGGGAGGCCAACTGATTAGTTGCTGTGATAACAAGTTTTGTTACTTGTGCATTATCCGAAGCTGTACGTCTGGTCCAAAAAGCCTTGAAAAATGGCTTCACAAGTTTTTTTTCATACTCGGGTATAATACCTTTTGAAAGCGGCAAGCTCAGTATAATTTTCAATATGGTCTTTCTCATCTCTTCTTCCGGGGTCGCAAAATGTTGCGACACCAAGAATGCCAACTCCGCCGTATAAAAATTTGTATACTCTTCGTATCTTGGGTCAAAGTTCATAAGTGGGATTAGCGAGCCAATGCACTTCAAGAATGCAGCCAAGCCTTTGCCCCTTTGTTTCCGTGTCTCATTCCAAAGTCGCTCTAAAACCGGCTCAAATGCATCAATACCATAGGGTTCCACAGTTTCTGCCAACAGAGAAAATGTTGCTGCAGCGATACGTCTGACTTGAGGAACCTCATCACTTATTGCTGGTGCCAATGTTTCGACAATAAGACTCAAGTGCGGCAAAATTGGGGACCCATTCCCCTTACCTAAAAGAATGCACAACTGTTGGATAGCCTTGATACCTGTGTGTTTTGCCGTCCAGGTTTTTCGAGACTTGACAACAGCCTTTAGAAAAGGCATGAATTGAGCAAGGCCAAGGGTATTTGCCACTATGGCGAGAACTCTTGAAGTAAGATTTCTCATGTACTCGTCAACATGGTCCAAATCTGGTCTCACCGTAGAAATCATGGTAGCAAAGCCAACTACCTTTGTCAAACTTGTCAAAATATTCCGTGTTTCGTTTCGTATAGTCGAGTCTTCGTCAATCAAGAATGGCGACAAAACGTGGATCACGTCTTGTGTGTAGGGCCCAATTGACACGTTTAATTGATTAATGATCCTACCAACCAATTTAACCAATAAATGGCGCTCTTGCTCACCTATCATAGGTTCCAACAAAACTGGAAGAATCTGGTTTAGAAGCAATTGCGGCCCAAATTTCACTGCATTTTCAGTCAATGACCTCATGGCTCGCTTCCGGGTGATTTGGGAACCATTTTTCACCTTAAGTATAAGTTTCATCGATTGGAATTCCTTTCTCTTGTCCTCTTCAAGATCCTCCTCCTTTAGCTTCAAAAGATGTCCAAAATGCTTCACATCTTCTTCCTTGACGTGCTCGAGACCTTCAAAGCCCGCTAATTCTGCCGGAACCAAAGAGGCTGGAATATTGTTGGATTGATTCACTGGAGGTACGTAATAATCATTTCTTATCAGAATCATATCATGTGTAGCTTGTGCATCTTGCTGAAAATCATGCGGAGGTTTTAGCTGGATGAACCCCTGTGGTAGGATCTTCTCCAAAATGGCATCAGTCAAGGGCACTCCTTCAACAATAGGCACATTTTCCAATGTAGAGCTTTTTGCTAGTACAGAAGACGAAGATGGCACTAGTTCACCAGTATCATCACCTTTGCTGTCTTGTATGGCACTCAACTTCCTCTTTCTTGTAGTATCTACATTATTCTCCTTCTCAGCAATATCACGGTTTATTTTCGCCTCATCTAGCTCTAGAGCTCGGTCCTGCATCACTTTCTGATAGGACTTCTTCTCATCAAGGTTCAAGTCCACATTTCTTTGAAATCTCTGTCGATTGTAGTCACTTTTATTTATGTCTTCTTGTAATGTCTTGTTCGAAGTGGAATCATCACGTTCAAATTCCTTGAGTAGTTCTTTCTTCAAGACATCCAGGATTGAGTAGTTTCCAGCTAGATTATTCTTAGGTCCCTTACTTGGCATGTCTTGGTGGATAGAAAGAGAGAGAGAGAGAGAGAGTGTGTGTGTGTGCGTGTATGACATTGTATGTGCCACTAAATTTTGCTCTGCGGAATTAGAGAAAAATGTTAAGCCGCGCAAAATCCATCGAGTTTTACCATCGGAAGTCAGTTTGCAAATCGACACACCAGCAATCAGAAATGTCGAACCAAAATGCTACGGTTTTACTATCTAGAATTTTGTCACTACGGGAGAATTCATCGTTCCACCTAATCCTAGACTCCTTAACTCAATCATCGTTTTATTTGATGAAGGAGTATGTGCATCATCTCAATCACAATTACAAAATTGCTTACTTGTCTTATGAAACAGTCAATCGACCACGTTATGCAACTGATTTTTTTGACTGTACTGAAGTTGCAATTGACCAGGTTGTACTGTTCATTAAGACTCAAATGAAGAATGCTTCACCAACCTCAAAATTGGTCGTCATAATTGACTCATTGAACTATATTCTGAATGAAAATTTAACCCAATTTATTTCAAATATAGTGGGTCCAAATGTGGTGCTCATAGCTACCTTCCATACAAATTGTGTGGCACCATTCACTAGACATGCAAATTATCCATCCAGTCTCTCATTGCTCACCTACATTGCTAGCACCATTTTTGAAGTTGAGCCTTTATTGAGCCAGTCAGTTGATGAAGAGACCATAGAGAGAAGCGTTTTGAGATTGAACTTCCCTATCAATGCACAATTAAATAGTGACGTTTTCAAGCTTACATTAACAAACAGAAGAAAGTCAGGCAGATCATTGGTGTACAGGTTTAGTATTCAAAGCAAAAGTCATACATATGAGATACTAAACAACGCTTCCCGAGCAAAAGATGATGACGAAGAAGACGAAATGTTGAAGAATTTGACTACGTTCAATTTAACTACTAGTAACAAACAGAAGTTGGCCAGAGAACAGGTTGAGTTACCTTTCATGCAAGCCCAAGAGACACTTGGCTCGGCTGGAGGTGCAATTGTCTACGAATTTGAGAAGGACGATGACTATGACGAGGAGGACCCATATGAAGATCCATTTTAAAATAGGCTTATATAGGAAGTCATAAATAAAGTGCGTTGCTGTAAACTATTCTACCTTAGTCTTGAGCTTTCCAATTCTTGATAGTACGGATCGCTTGAATTTGGAAAATTTTGTATTCTGGGCAGCAAGCTCGAATTCCTCCTCTGTAACTGTTTTCTTTGTTAGCAAGTTGAACATTGTACCAAACGCAAGTGACAAAACTGTGCATGTTAAAATGATAACATTATAAGGCATTGAGAAATCGGGAGTTGGCAAAGTTAGCAACAAACTGGTTGTTCGAAATTCATAACCACCGTGATGATCTCTATCGCTCACCCTTATGACGGCCGGCTCGATATCAAATCCGTGATTTGCATCTGGTGGGTACTCTCTGTATAAAAGCAATGATTTATCGAAATCATACGTCATTGCCAACGTCAGCAAAGGAGGGACACTGAAAACAAATTCCAAATGTGAGGGCCTTTCGCGATCAGCTGCTGGCTTATAATAACTACTCCTTATGAACTGCAAGTGGTTGTTGACATTAAAGACACCACTTGAATTCTTCAAAGTAACATCTAATGTGCTTAGATATAGTCTCATAAACCAGGGCAATGATTCAAAATAAGTAAACTCAACATCTTTATGTCCTGGATTAGTAAAAACAACACGCAAGCCGCCCTTGTCCAATGAGTAACCAGTTAACGAGCGCGAGGCATATAAAGGAGGCTCCTCAATGGGCACCACTTTGGTGGAGTTGGAAGTGAAAAATTTAAAGTCATAGTCGTACGGTTCAACTATTGACTCCACGATTGTGTTTGATCCATGACTTTGTAGAGATCTCGTTGCAACAAAAGTGGAGCTTTCCTTTTGCAAGGTGATATTCCACGCAGATGGATCATAGTCTATCAGGACCTTACTCACTTCTTGATCACCTTCAAACGCTGGTCCTTTAATAGTGCGTCCATACAACGTCTCTAAACTCCATTGCAATTCAGTTGGGTCACTCAAGGGAAAACATTGCCATAAGTTATATTCCTTACTAGTGTCACATCTCAACTTGTCACCGGGGGTAGGTTTGGGTATCCCTCCTTCTTCCTTCTTGCGCAAAGATCTAACAATATCAATAACTTGGCTCACAGTTTGGTACAAGTTCAATTTGCAAAGACCATCTTCGGCGCATTCTGTGACAACATCTATAGACATTCCGTGCCATAAGGAGTCAAACACTTTATGCCCGTCTAGAAGTGACGAAATTCCAGCTTTGCCTCCAGTGGGCAATAACTTCAAAAAGGGCGTCAAATTTTCCGTACATATAGGCTCACTAGGTAATGCCGCACGAAGTAAGTAAAGTTTGTTTCCAAATTCTGGCTCATAATTACCAGTGTTGGCATCCAGAATCGAATACCTTGGAAATGTAGTAATATCGTTGTCAATAAAGTTCAAGGATGCACAGAAAAATCCCGATAAATTCTTGGTTAGTTTTGACCAATGCTTCCGCGCCACTTCTATGCTTGGAGCCTCTATTAAAGCTACTACTTCAACACCAGTTCCACCACTAAACCAACCGTCGTACGGTAGTTTGCCCCATGACTGTGCATCCCACCATCCCTGTGTAAACCTTAGCGACAACTCCCTAGTGTTCGTTGATTCTATTATTGGACCAATGGAGCTGGGAAATAAGGTATAGTGACTCTCTTTCAAGTTTCTACTGCTGCTGGAGTCATTTTGATAAAAAGTGTCAAATTGCAATGACTGTACCTTGAAATCAAACGTTGAGAGCAATTTGTTTCTGGGCAACGGCCTCAAGTTTAGTGTCTCTTGATAGAAAGAATCTCCCAAGACAAAGCTAAAATATGTAGCCATAATGAGACAAGCTCGTACGATAATCATAGTAACAGCTCAGTTGGTTGCGATTGACAAAAATGGTGTCAAAATTAAAAAATTTCAATTGCGTGTTCATCAATCATTAGACCCACGCGAAAGAGAGAAACAGAAAGAAAAAAACAAAACAAAAATTCGATCAAAACGGATTGCCTTGCGGCTTTGTTTACACTTTATACGCGACTCTCTTCTTAATCCAAAATAAACATCACACAACCATTGACTTTATTCTATAATGAACATGCACCGACCAAGTCTGAGACCTAAAGTAGCTGTTGATGTTATAGAGGAAGAGAAAGAGAATCTAGTGCCTTTACAGGGAGGGAGGCCCGTGTCAAAACTAGCGACTACCTTGGCTAACTCGCGAAATTATTCGTTAGATGGCCTCAAGGCAAAACTACAACAAGAACGAGACCAGTTCGAATTGCAGCTCAGGAACTTGGACGACTTGGATGACCCGTTACAGGTATACCTAAGCTACATAGATTGGACGCATCGAAATTACCCTCAAGGTGCCAATACATTTAGTGATTTGTTTGGCCTTTTGGAGCGGTGTGCATCGAAATTTAGAGATATTTCCCTTTACAAAAATGATTCTAGGTATTTGAAAGTATGGCTCGAGTATATTGATTATCATGATACACCGAGGGATGCATATATATATCTAGCGACCAAAAAAATTGGAATTGAATTGGCCCTTTTTTATGAAGAGTTTGCTCGTCACTTGGAATTGAAGGATAGATTTGCTGATGCCCATGGTGTGTATGAAATAGGAATCCAACATAAAGCCTTCCCTATTGGACGTCTTGAGAGATCCTTTGAGAGATTCAAAGCACGTACGGCGGCAAAGAATATTTCCGCTTCACCACCTAGTGAAGATATTAGGAATGCTCTATCATTGAAGCAAGGAAGGCGAATCGAACATGAATCTGAACCTGAATCTGAGGAGAAACCGAGTAAAAGGAGTAAAATTGACGTTTATCAAGACAATGCCGATGAAAATTTGAATTCTATACGATCAGCGTTTGAGAAGGACGCCCATCAGGATGTACCGTTGGAGGCTAAAAGGAGCCGTATAAAGGAAAATACCTTAGCACCAACAAGGTGGAGTGGCCAGATATTGCGACAGAAACACACAGGACCTTCTACTGCTACTGAAAAATTACAAGTCTTCTGTGACAATCCACCCAACTCAGCAACTTCACGAGGTGATACTCCCGAGATTCATAGACTGATTCATCCTTGTAAAGATGCTCTAAATGTATACACACTCGTTGAAGTACCAGGGAAAAGGGCGGAAAAACTCATGTTGAATATGGATCTTTTGTATCCCGAGCTCGATTCCGAATTTAGTCCAACCGAATTATTAGCAATGCAGAGACGCGTAGAGACTAAAACAACGGCAACAAAGCCTGAGAATAGCGCAATGTTAAACCAGGACCATGATACGGAGACCAAGACTTTTACTATTCCCTCAATTGATGATACACTAACATCTAAACTCGCCACCAAGGATCCTACTATTACCATGTATTCAAAAATGGCCAAAAACGAAGTCTTTGGCATTTTTAATCAAGCATCGCAGACGTATGAACAACCAGATTTTTCCGACACAAGAATTGAGGAACCAACGGTTACAAACTTGGATAGTTTCGTAACAGAAACATTGCACGCACAGAAAATGATACCCAAAGAATATCAAGAGCCTCTTGTTGCAACACAGGTTGATGAACCTGTTGCAAATGCACAAAGTGTTAACTACACAAGCTCTCCATTCTTACTCCATCCACCTCTCCAACAACAGGCCAAACGGCCACCAGAGCTAAATACGACAGACCCACTTGACCCTCAAATAAAAACAGGTATTTTGCAGAATTTGGTAATCCCCTTGACTACTTATCCTGGATATTTCGACAAGTCGAATAAGATTGCAAACCAATTTTTCAGGATAACAGATGCCAACTCACAAAACACGGCGCACCCAACAATACTCGACTGTTTAGGAGATGAGATGTACTCTTTGATTTCATGCTTTAAGAAACAAGAATGCTCGCTTGTATACTTGGCAGAGTCAGATTCAGGTAGCCTAAAAGTGTTGAAAGTGCTGCGCCCAGCGACCTCATGGGAGTTTTTCATATTGCGACGTGTACGCAGAAGATTGTTAAATGATTTATCGCATGAAAAGAAATTTGCTAAAGCGGAAAGTTTATTCAGCTTTGGCGATGAAAGCTTTCTAGTGCTTGAATATTACCCTCAGGGCAATTTGATGGAAGTGATTAAACTTTTTAAGGCAAAGGGGAAACCAATTGACGAGTGCCTAGCCGTGTTTTTCTCAATTAGATTGCTTGAAGCTATAGAAACTTTGCATGGGATGGACATAATTCACGGATGTGTTAATACAGAGAATTGTATGATCAATTTTGCACGCGAGGACCGAAGCTTTTCCCAAATTTATGACCGAAGTGGGAAATACGGCTGGGACAAAAAACGACTCACCTTAATAGACTTTGGTGCGTCTATTGATTTAACAGAGTTTCAAAAAGGAACTAAATTTTTGTCGTCCAGCCCATATCTAGGCAATAACTTTCTCGCGTGGATGGATGGTGAGCCGTGGACTTTTGAAATTGATTATTTTGGTTTGGCCAACACTATTCATGCTTTACTTTTTGATGAGAGCTTACAATTTGTATCAGCGGATGAAAGAGTGCAAATAAGGCGCTCCTTATCGGAGTTCTGGCAGCCCCAGTTATGGCAAGAACTATTCGAAGTATTGTTGAACCCCAATAGCAAGATAGGCCATCAAGCTAATGCACTATACTTGAAGAGAATTAGAAGGAAGCTTGAGGAATGGTTGGAAAATTATTCGGAAGCTGGAAATTTAAAAGGGTCAATTGTTTCGCTTGAGGAAGAGTTGGGTTCAACGATGTAAATGTTTATGGTACAGGAAAGAATCCCAGCTACGAATACTAGCTCTTTCAATTTGCGAGATGTCGGAACTGTACAGGGTTACTCAGAGGATATTTGTTGGTGAGTTCGATATGAATCCTGTATGGCTATTTCAAGTCGAAAATAATTGATGGAATGATCCCTCAGAAGCTGAAGTCATCTGCCACTTCTGGCCCAGAATGGGAGGATAACAGTGATCAAAAAATAAGATGATGTCGAAGATGTGTATCCTTTGAGGGTTAATGATAAGCTCAGAGGAGAAGGATTAAATGCTTAATGTCAGATAAGCAAGCTCTTAATACGCAAATGTGTCCTAATCACAGGAGTTTCCTTTGTTTTTCCAGTGATGACCGGTGAAGGCTATCATGGGGTTAGAAGTATGTAACTAACCCAGAAACGATTCACTTTCAGATGGAGAAAGTCAAAAACAAAAGACTACATACAAACAAGAAAAGCCAGCCATTACATCAGGAGCTCCAACATCCTACTTTCAATTGTATTAATAGTCTGATTTACTTGTCTTATTTTCTGTTCTTAAAACCAGATAACATTAGATTCTAATACACAATCTAACTAAAGTAAAATATGTAAATGCTTTTGTGATATGTCAATATTTTGTAGACTCAGAATATCCAATTCAAGTACCCTTTCCACCTACTCTTCTTTTCGTCCTGACTGCTTTCTTCCAATTGTGCATAATATTCCACTTCGTGGGCTTCAATTTCGTCAAGACCGGTTGTCAAATCAGCATCAATAGGCTTAATAAATT